CGCCTACAAGGGCCTGGCCGCCACCGCGGATGAGGTGTACCAGTGGGCGATGGACATCGCGGTCTCCGGCACATCGACGCCCACCAGCGACCACCAGCAGATCGTGGACCCGCAGACCGGCATCCTCCGCAACGACGGCCAGCACTTCCCGTCCGAGAACATCCTGCGCGTGTCGACGGCGCAGGCCGTTCACCAGGCGCGCCAGGGCCACCTCCCGGCCGCGCTCTCGATCTTCACCTCCGTGCTCAAGGCCCGCCGCTCCATCCCCGCGGGCGTCGGCGAGCCCACCACCGCCTACACCCCGACCCTGCCCCGCTCCCCGGACCCCTTCCGCTCCTTCTTCAACAAGCTGCAGACCACCCTGCGGCCCGCCGCCTACCCGCCCCCGCCGCCCACCGGCGACGCCCCGCCCGCCCGCACCCCGGCCACCGTCTGCGACCAGGCCGCCCTCATGACCTACATCGGCGAGATCCTCTTCGCCTCCTCCTCTCAGGAATCCGGCCTCGCCTGGACCCGCGACGCCGTCGACATGGCCGAGGCCACCCTGCTCGAGCTGGGCGCCGCCGGCTCCGACCCCGAGCCCGTCGCCAACGCCCGCTGCGCCGACTGCCTCCGCGTCGGCCTCGCCAACTGGAAGACCATGGTCAACCAGCTCATCGCCCGCGCCGAACAGGAGGAAGACGAGGCCGTCGAGAAGGCCGCCCACCAACGCACATCGTCGTCATCATGGTCATCGTGGCTCCCCCGCGGCAGCAGCAGCAGCAGCAGCAGCAGCAGTGAAAGCCTGGTGCAGCAGAAGATCCTCGCGCGCAAGCGCTGGGAGGCCGAGGGGATGATCCTCGATGAGCGTCGCGCCCGGCTCGACTGGCTGGTCGAGGACTATTCGCCCTACGAGGGCTTGGCGCCGAACGCATCGCTCTTTACCTAGTTTTTGTCCTGCTGGTGTCGGGTTGAGAGGAGATTGTAGGATCTTGACGCGTCTGTTTTTTTTGGGGGGGTGTGCTTATGTACGTACTTGAGCCTTGGTTGCGGGAAACCTCGTGTTTCTTGTTTGATTGCATACATGCAGGTTGGAGTTTTGGGGGGGTTTGCGTTGTCTACTGTACATAGGAATTTTCTTTGTTGCTCGAATCGTTCCAGATATGGGCATATGTGTGGGAATGGGTCAGTTGATACCTGCTTTCACTATTTTGATTGATCACTTTTAGGAAATACTGCTCCTAATCTGTATTTATGGGCTAGGGTAGGGAACACACAAGAACAACTTCTCAGATACTCTACTACTTCCCAGCTAGGCTTTATACTTGAGCTTCAAAGAGTTGGTTTGGGCCGGGCAGGTTTATTGACATTGCGAGCGCGAGTGCTAGTGCTAAGAGTACAATAGGGTTTGATATTATGATGGATTGCGCAAAAAGGATTGAACCACTAAAAGTCCCCACACCTCTGTCATCCTCCGACCACGTTCCCATTCGGCAAGGTGATTCGGTACTGATCGAAGTTCAGAGTGAAATTCCCTTTCACGCCGGCGGGAGCCAGGTCGATGACGTGGATGTGTTTCGACTCCTCGGTATACACATTCGTCAGGTACAGCTGCAGGTCGTTCCCCGCGAACGTGGCAGCCGACAGAGTGCCGGTCTCCTGGAAGATGTACAGGACCGAGATGCGAGCGAAGGTCAGGGCTTTGCTTGTGATCACCGTGGTTGAGTTCGAGGATGAAGACGCAGCCGCCGTGGCCGTGGGCGAGGAACTTGCTGCTGCCGTCACCGTAGAGGTCGTTTGGGATCCGGGATGACGGACCTCCGTGGCAGTCGCTGCATGAGTGGCTGTTGCTGCTGTGGCGGTGGCCGTTTCCGTCGCAGCTTGCCCGGTCTTGGTCGGTGGGGTGTCATCGAAGATGATCCCGTTCTCTGTAGCAATCGAGGCACGGGCAGCAAGGACTTGCGTGGGCAGATTCGGCGTGGCCGAGGTCGGCGGTGGTTGTTCGTAGGCAAAGGGCAGTGGGTTGGAGTTGGAAGATTCCGTCAGGTCATACCAGGGAAGGAAAGCACGCCGGGATTTACTACTGCTGCTCGTCGAAATGCCGGAGAAGGACACCAGGCTATTCTCGGTCGTGCACGAGACATTGTTCTGGCTGAACAGGGCCATGATAGTCATCTCATCCAGCGTGATGCTGTAATTCTGCTGGGCACCTTCAAATAAGTCTGGAAGGTCACTACCCATGGTGGCACTCTTGTTGTTGATCTTGGCTGTAACACAGCTGGCATCGCCGGCAGTTGCGCAACGACTGCCTGTAAACCCATTGGCGCAGACACAGGAGCAGACATTGCCGCTCGAAACACTGACACCGCCATTCTCACACGGTGTTGTCTTCGCACAGTCAGACCCGCTCGACTTGTGCTTGAGAACAACCAAGCAAACAGGGATCAGAACAGCGGCCAAGATGATGACGATGATAATAACACAGACAAGTCCGAAAAGCCATGGGGGCATGCCACAGCAGCGGCGGGCCTGCTTTGGTTGAGCTTTTTCCTGGTCCACTTCTTTGGGAGGCTCGTTGGAGTGGATTTGATGGAGCGTGGATCTCCGGAAAAAGAAAGGCCAGGATGAGTGAGCCCCGTCCTGTACCGCGGCAGGGGGTGGGAAAGATGCTAGAATGCTCTGAATTGATCCCGAGTTACGTCTCTGGTCTGTTTGAACGTATCAGCATGCTGTGATATTATGATCGAACACGACCAGGCCACTTACGAAAACGAGGGTTTCCTCCATTGAGCAAGTCGTTTCTGCTTGCAGTTCGGCCATGCTCGAGATTAGACGCGAGTTTGGTCGCTCGGCGAATCAAATCAGGTAAGCTTGTTAGACTTCCACGAGCCTCTGCATCACGGACAGCAGTCATATTCAATCGAGGAGGTCGACGGCCCATTGGCCTAGTTTCGCTTATTGTCGGCGCTGCCTTCGGGAGTCCTCCAACCTCTTTCCTCAGGGCCGCATTGTTATCGTACGGGCGAGCCAGAGCGGGATGTTCAGCACTCAGATCCAGCATAATCGGCGCTTTCTCCGTCCCAAAATGCGTCGAGCCAGACGATACTGTTGACATGCTATCGTTTCGCTCCCTTCCAGCAGCTATCTCTTTCAAAACTGCCGCCGTGGCCGCCGTATCGGCCGTAGTTGGTCTGGCAGACACCGGGGTCTTCTCCGATGGCGGTACAGGCGAGTTTGTACTGGGTTTCTGGATTGTGCGCAATGCAGGCTTTCCACGGGTTCCGATACTTGCCTGCCTCAGAAGCGCAGGGGCGGCTACCTGCAAAGAATGCTGTGATTCACTATCATCGGAGTCGCCTTCCAGGTAAGTACCTAATATCTCCGACTCGGCCGGCCCGGAGCACCAACTGGGAGGATATGGTCGACTTGGCGCGTGAAGCTCCTTTGAGATCGTGGGGCTATCGGGCAATTCCTCGGGAATCGGTGAGACGGAGGATCCACGATTATCAGTTGGTCGAGCTGCTGGCATCGGCGGAGCAAGGCCACACGCTTTTTGCAGTGGAAATGCTGAAGATGCAACATGTTCCGTGGGTGATGAATGAGCCGTCCCCGGCAGGTCAGTAAGAGAGATTGTACCGACTGACGAAACTCCCGACTGTCTGAATAGGTCTTCGGTAGCAATGGATGCCCGGGGCGTCGAACCTGCAAGAGTGCTTGGGCTAGGAGGAATTGGAATTCTGATTGCTGGTCGCGGGGCATGTTGCATCGGGAGGGGTTGCGAGAAAGACGGAACAGGCCGTTTGATGTTTAGCGGGCTGGGCACGACGTCAACGCTTCTTTCCGAATACACAGAAGGCGAAGGGCAGTCGGGCCGTGGGGGTCGCTGTGGTGGAGGACCTTTAGGAACTAGTAGTCGCGCGTGGGCATTGGCTACGTCGATCTGCTGAAGGCCATCGTTGGGTAGGGGCCATTGTGTCAGATGAGCCGGATTGGTCCTGAAAGTCGACACTGGTTCTGGAGCTGGCTCGTGACGTTTTCCAGCCTTCAGCATCTCCCTTGCTCGTCGTACTGATCCTTTTCTCTCTACGGGCTCAGAGCCCGTATCCTCTGGGTTAGGTTCCATGTGTTAGCGTGGAACAGGAGTGATAATTGCAGCAAGCGCGATATGATGTCGCGCTGAGTGAATTCGATCTTTGCTAGCGCATAGAACAAGAGCTGATGCCGCTTTGCTGGCTGGCAACTGATCGTTGACGAAAGGTAACTCAACCGCGGCGTTGATAAACGAGCGATTGCAGACACGTTGAGTGGGTGAAACTGATAAAAGTTTGATAAGTCGCGTCTGTCTATTGCCTGATGACAACAGTCTTGGGATTTCAAAAGAAGGTGGATGTTGAGAATGATCGTAAGGGCACTCAATGCCTCTAGAGGGGACAAGTAAGTTCAATGTTGCAAGTCGGTTGGTGCACATCGTAGGCAGCGAGACGATCGAGGATGCATACCACAAGAAACAGGTCTTACTCGAAAAAAAGAAGGAAGAAGCAATCAAAGACTCAAAGTCACAAGAACATAGTATAAGACTTGCAAAGTCTAAGAAGAATCCCCGGCTGGTCACCAAGCCCCTGAGCGCATAGAACAGAAATTGTTAATCAGCAAGCCTTCCATCATGATTCATCTAAGACACGAAATAGGAACTTACAGAATCTCCCACGAAGAAAAGAAGAACCGTCCAAAGGGATCGAAGGAGCCTCTAGCCCTTACCCCCAAGAGAAAAGAGCGGACAACTGGACAGTACGAAGTAAAAGGAGAAGAAAAACAACCCCCAGCGCGTGTATAGACGGCAAGCAGGTCTTTGGGCGATAACGCCTCACACGGACGGAAAGTCAGGCCCAGGGGTTTCCGGAAACCCAGCAAACCTAAAAGTCGGAGATGGATACTAAAGACACTTCATTTCCGTGCTTTGCCCAGGGACTGGACTCAAAGCAGGGTGCGCCGGCGCAAACGTTTGGGAGTCACACCCGTTCAAGTCTAGGTGGAGTTGGAGCCAAAGCGATAGCGCGGAGACAGGCACGGGAGGTCGTTTGTGACGGAAGGGATTTGGTCCTTAGGAGCACCGGATGACCTGCTAAACTGCTACTAGGCTTCAAGATAGTCTAACCGCCGCAAATATGCCGTAGTTGTTCTCACTTCCCAGAGTGGGTGGTGCCTCGTTTCATGGAGATGCGCCGGACGCAACAAATCGACACCCGCGGGGATGATCAATTGATATGGAATCGATGGTATTTCTTTGTTTCAATTTACTTTTTCCCCTTCCCCTCGCTTGCAGATAGTCTTGCACACACAATGCAAACCGCTGCTGGATTATGGAGACACCAAGAGTCGCAAGATTATGCATATGGCGGTCATTTTGACCGGGGAAGTCGAATAGGCGAGACGGCAAGGACCATAGACAGGCCAGAAATTGAGATCCTGAGTAAACGGGATGAGCTAAGGGACCGGAGCTAAGACCCATAATGGAGGAAATACAAGGGACGGCGAGCGGCCATTGGGCGGGCGGGGCACACCCAAGACTCGCAGAGGGACCAAAGAGCATGGCGGTTGACACTAGAGTCTCAGCTTGAGCAGAAGTGCCACTCGCTGGAGAGCGGCACTGCGGCCCTGGAACTTCAACATGAAACCAGTGATGAAGTCCATCCATGGCTGAAGGTCCAATGATGGTGCCGAACGAGCAACCGGAAACACGGGCGTCGGACGCGAGGGTCACGAATCGCATTCACTCCTCAGTCGGCAGAGGATGGGGAGAGTTCCACCGGGAATTCATGAAGCGAGTCAAGCAATGTGTACACCGGGGGTGATTCGTGCAATGATGTGGTCATGTCCTTCCAGCGGCAGTGCTGACGGCTCCATTCCATGGATCAGCATCATACTGTAATAACCGTTATCATGATCACGATAATAATAATTATAATAATAATCAAAACAGAGGCTAGCCGGATTGTTAGGCCATTCTGGCCGGGATAGTCGCTCGGGCACAAGGCCAGTTTGAGGTTAGCGAGGTACCGAAGCCATTAAAACAGAGTTTATCGCTTAACAGCCTCTGTTATGGTGGTACGTATTGTTTATTGTTCTGGCTGGCAAAGATCATATGAGGGACCTGCCACGCGGGAAAGATGCAGGAGAATGGATAAGAATAGTTCCAGTCTCCTCTTTCTTCATTTATTGCGGGACTGAACCGAGTGGAGGATGAATATGATGGATGGTGATGATGATGAGGTTGAAGAAGAAGAAGAAGTACGGAGTAGAAGACAGCAGGAGAAGAAGAGGGAGGAAGGCAGGCGGAGATGAAACAGGCCGAAAAGAGAACCTCAGGCCACAAGCAAGTCTTTCTCTTCTCTTTCGCCCTCTCTTTTTTGATCCCCTTTCCCTCCTATCCCTATCTCTAGAAGTGGTTCATAGTCTAGTTCTAGTTCTAGTTCTAAGGCTAGCTCTAGCATCCATCCATCACAAGTTTACAACGCTATCATCTCATTATCATGGACCCGGGGTCCATTTAACTCCATCAACCGTTTATAAAAATAGCTCGGCTCTATCTACAGGACTGACCACCGGCGAGATCCGAGAATGTCTCTACAATTCCGAAGAACTAATTGAAGGTGGAGCTGAGGTCTTCTGGAGCTCATTAAGAACATGTCCATAGCTCGCTGGTTCATATACAAAGACTCCATCTTCCAGTGTTCGTGCTGCGGCTGTGCCTGCGAAGACAGCTTCACTTATTCTTGGCCTATCGCACTTCTTACCTTCTTGATTTGCTGCTCCACCGTGCGCATCTCAACAACGACATTGGCCAATTTTGAGATCTGACCCTCGACAGCTCCGGTGAAGGAATTCTGGGCGCTACGCAAAGAAAGGGGCACCAAGATCCCGTACCAGTAAATCGGATCCGACGACCGAAAACGCTTCTTCGCTTTCTTCGACTTCGTATCTGTCTCCGCCGCTTCTGCTGGGGGACTATCCGCAGCGATTCCTGAGGCAGCAGCTTGGTTTGTGCTTTCTTCGGTGTCTTCGGACCCATCTTCTTCTGCATTTGCAGTATCTTCGGTTGAAGAGGATTCACTTTCGTCGTCCGTCTCGGATCGCTCCTTGGGCTGCTCGACAGTAACGGATTCGATTGCGAAGCTATGCTGGAACGCGCCTGTTAAGGCAGTCTTCTTCGGGGTTTCTTCTGGGGAAGTCGAGTCGGCCCCCGATGCTGAGTGGGAGACCGCTTCTTGTAGGTTCCTGCATAGGTGCGATATTTCGATTGGTTAGGCGTCCTGGTAGACAGGAGGGCACTCTCGGAGAAAACGAGGTGTGTTGGGACTCACACTCTCCTTGTCGCCTTCATGCGTTCATCGTAGTAATCTGCTCCGTACCTGCGCCCAGTTGAACAAACAAAGTTCGCATGCGCGAGGGAGATGAACCCCTGGTGAATCTCAGCAATTGTTCGCCTGCGACGTGTGGTTGCGCCATGCACAGTCACAAACATACCGAGGACAGCCGGGCACCCAGGTCGGCTTGCAGTTGTTGATGCTGATCTAAGAGCTGAAGGTACCGCTCCAGTAGATCGTCCAGCATCTGCAGATGATCCAGCTGCTGTTCAGGCTTCTTTACTTCATTGGAGTCATGCTCCGTGGAGGGTGAACCATGGCGGGAAGCCGGAGGGGTCGGGATCTGCGCCATTGGGTTACAAGCAGTAGATATGGAAGATCAGATGTGAGTCAGATAGCAGATCAGAGCGCCGATCAGGCATTTCTTTTGGATATGACAGGCGCTGGTTGTTTTGGTGGAGGAGGACGAGGGGTGGAAGCTTGAAAGCGGCGGAGACCCCGTGGAGGAGGCCGGGCGGGCGACTAACTCCGTCATCGCAACCTCCGCCGAACACCAAAAGAATTTCCCGAGATTCGCCATTATTGTTCCCTGCCTTTTCTCTCCGCGCCATATCCTCCTTTGGCCTCACCCTCCCCATTTTATAATCGAGCCTACTTCTTGTTTCTCGCTTAGTTTATTGTGTACTGAACTGAGCACTTGTGAAGTCTCCTCAGCACTAAAGACGTGACCCCGTCTTTGGTTTACTTGCTCCGAACAGCTTCTCTTCCGACGCCACTTCGACTTGCGCTGGTTCTCAGGTAACTTTACCCCTCTATCCGACAAACCTCGCTACTCCAGACGCTCCGGGTGATATTGGCTCACCGATCGCGGTTGACTTGGAGTGACTCGGCACATACTGACTTGAGTCCGTTTCTTCTAGACACTTCGCAGTCCAGCAATTCGGAAAAGACGTGCTCGGAGATAGCCGCATTTGGGTCTTTCAGGCATCATCCATCTCAGCGATTCTCTTCACTTCATCCCTCCCTTGTTCAACAATACTATTCTAAAGCCACCCTCTCCACTCTTATCTAAAGCCTATCATCATGTCTGTCCCTACGATCGGGCGCGATACGGCCTTCCAGGTCCGCTCCTTGGTATGTTTCCCTTGTTCATGGAGAGCTTGATTGTGTCCTGTGACCAGCTTGAAAGTGGAGACTAATCGCCCATGCTTGCTCGTGTAGTTCCGTTCATTGCTGCGTCAGTCCTCCCAGTTCTCGAACTACAACTTCCGCGAGTACGCCCGCCGGCGCACAGCGGATGCCTTCCGCGAGCATCAGAAGGAGACGGAAGATAGACGGATACAAGAATTGATCCAGGATGGAATCCAGAACCTGCGGATGTTGAAGGTTAGTCATACCAGGCCGGGGGTCATGGCTCCGGGGGACTTTCGGGTCCAGCATCGCCGCTCCAGGGCATGTTGCCGGTTTTACTCAAGATTAAAACTAACATACACTCCAGCGTCAAACCGTGATCAGCCAGTTCTACCAGATGGACAAACTGGTTGTCGAGGGTCAGGAGACAGTGAGTACTCTTGGGGGGATATTCACATCGAAGTCCCAGCTGACGGGGAAACCAGGGCAAGCAAACTGGTAGCGAAGGTGGCATTGTTCGCCAGAAGGATACTGGGTAAGATGAATATCCTCGACATGCTTGTTCAATTCTTACTGACCGGGGCATAGTTGGGACTAAATAAGTTATATATGCGATTCTTGATTTGCCGGCGTAGGAACGGAGTTGCTGGGGATTGATCTTGATATCTTGCGCCGCCGATGAAGGAGTGACTGAATAGACTGGAGGTGCTCTTGTAATTTTATCAAAGGCGACTCACCGCGTACGTTGTAGGTAGCACCGACACTAAATTTCTGAAAATACCATTCTTCTCTCTTTAACCACTTCGACTTCAATATCTTAAATGTCCGCAATGTTTGATTGGAAATCAATGGATTCTGCCATCAGCCCCAGTCACGTGAATCCGGGGGTTTTGCTGTTGCCGCCTTCGGTCGCATCGCGACCATCAATCAAGCAATCAACCATTCCCATCCCAAACACTCCTCGGATTCACCGTCACGCTCTCGTCATTTGTCTCGTGCAACCAGGCGCATATCCTCTCTGCATTTTGTGGATGGGCGACAGACCTCACAGTGTGCATTTCATCCAGGCCTGGGAGTGAGCTAGCAGCATCAGACGCTCACGATGCCACCTACCGTAAGTTCCTCGCCGACAGCTACCATGCCGAGATTAGCACCAACTCCGCGCGTTCCAACGCTCGAACAAAACGATTGAAAAGACACAATCTTTTGTGAACCCAGAAATGACCCTCTGCAGTTCAGATCCTCACGCTCCGGGCGACAATTCGGTGACGCCGCCAACCGCAACCGAACGGGTCAGGTCGATCACGACGTGTTCGAAGGACTCCCCGTACGACGATGGACGCGCCAGACTCAGACCGTATCACAAGAGCCCAAAAGCGAGGCGCCCGACCCCAATGACGCTCAAGGTCCGGGAGGGCGACCCACTATTCCCGAGCACCCAATGCCCCGAGACAGCCACCTGTTGACCCCGGCGAGCCGAGCGCTCCTGCGCGCAGCCCGCGCAGGCTGCATCTATATCCGACAAGCTTCGAAGGAATTTGAAGACGAGGAGAAGGAGGCGACAGATGGAGAGGAACAACCTTTGATCCAGAGCACGGAACGCAGTTTTGTTACCCGCAAGTGGACGTCCGTCCCGAAGCATCTCGAGGCCGTGGAGGTGGAATTCCTTGCCAAGAGACGCCCGGGGATGCCATCTCTGTATGGTACGTCTGCAAACGCAGATGGATCTACTGCGGGCCCGATGCGGCGGACTCGGTTCAAGAAGGTCGATCCGGCTACAGGGAACATTTCGATTTATGAGGCTTGGGTGCCAGAAGGACATAAGATTGAGGGAGAGATTACCGATGACGCTCAGGTCGCTGCTCCGAGTAGCACTGTCACGGTCACTCCGGAGGCCCCGGCTCCAGGAACTGTCATCGAAGGTGTTGGGGTGGTCAACGCAGAGGGCGTTGTCGTTGCGGAAGCCGGTTCGGTGAATGTAATGACACCTCCGAAGAGGCGGCCTCCCCCTCCGAAACGCAAGGCCAAGGGGGTCGGAAAGGGAAGAAGAAAGAAGGTCATGTTCGCTCCTGGCGACGGTGCGGATGCTTCGCAGGTGCATGGGATAGGGGGGGCTGATGGTGCGGCAGACAAGGAAGATGGCACGGATCCCTCGAGATTGTCCGTTGACCAAACCGGCCAAGACGATGACGATGATGAAGGCGAGGAGGGTGATGAGAGTGACGATGGTGATGAGTCCATGCTTGATGCAAAAACACCAGAGACCTCGGTACCACCGACAAGCACTGAGCCCTCAGCTGCTCCGGAACCCCTGCCAACACCGGCACTGGCAATTGCTGAACCGCAGCCACCAGCTCTCGAAACTCCTTCTGCTGCTGTCTCTGACACGCCTTCACAACCTACAGTAACGCCACCAGCTCCTTCCGAGCCTTCAGAGGTATCTCTCGGTACCTCCACGCCAGCTTTGACCGAAAAGCCGATTGAAACCTCAGCACAACCCGAGGACGTGGAGATGGCGGATGCCACTCCTCAACAGGAGCAAAGCATAAAGTCTCCTTCCCTGCAGGCACCAGTTTCACAGGAACAGACGATTCAGGAAAGTGCAAAGACAGCCTCGAAGTCACCGTCTCAAAGCACACCCCAGGCACCTGTCCCAGAGACACTTCCAAACACCGCAAATACGGAACAGACTGCTCCGGAATCATCAATAGTTGAGCCATCGGGAAGTGCTAATGAGACAGTTGGGCAACCGACGGAGCAGCCCCAACACGATGAGGATACAGTCATGGAAGATTCCGCAGCCCTCCCGGAAACTGCTCTCAAACCCGACTCTGAACAATCAGCTCCTGAGCCTATGGTTAATCAGAAATCCGACGCTCAACCCAATGAAGAAGATACTGAAACTAAGGGGACCGATCTACTCTCCTCGTTGGAAGCAAGCCTGGACAAACCATCAGAAGCAGCCCAGCCGAGTGAGCAAACGAATGAGGTTGAGATGCGATCAATTGATCAGCCTGCTGTCACAGAGCCAATCGCGGAAAATACGCCTCAGACCACCAGCGCAGCGGCGACTACTGTTGACAACGCATCTGCAGATGTCACCGACTCGGTTTTGGAGCGGCCCGTGGAGCAGCCCGCTGCTCCTGATCAGGCAGAACAGGCTTCTCAGCCACCGTCTGAGCAACCAGACAAACAACCAACCTCTGGAACGCCTGAGCAACCTACAGCACAAATCCCAGACGAGGCTGCCGCCCGGGCTGTCACTCCGGCTGCTGCAGAAGAGCAAGCGGACCAGCCAGCTATCGAACAACAGCAGCCTCAGTCTGAGGATTCGACAACCGACCACATCGCACCGCAGGCCACGGAAACCTCTGCGGCCGAGTCTGCGGCTCCGCCTTCCAACATCATAGTTGAACCGCCAGCCGAGCAAATACCCGACCAGCCAACATCCACGGAGCAGCCTTCAGAGCCCCCGGTCCAATCTCAACCAGCTACCGAAGTGCCTGAGGAGCAAAAGCAGCCCAGCCTAGAGAAGCCTGCTGCCGTTGCTTCTTCGGAGGCAACGCCTACGCCAGTATTGCAGCCATCGCTGCCTCAAGAGCAGCAGCAGCAACAACAACAACAACAACCTGAACCCGAAGCCCCTGAACCACCTACCACATCCACCTCTCCCGTGCCTGCGCCTGAGTTCCCATCAGAAACACCACAGTCCGAATCTGTGCCTGAGCCCCAGCAATCTCCAGACCAACCCCAACCCCAAGAACCTGAGACCCAGGATTCGAAGCCCCCCAGCACCAGTGCCGCACCCCAAGACCCACCACCAACCGAACCCCAACAACCCCCAGCTAACCCCGAACCCGTGGAATCTGTGCCCGCCTCAACTAGCGAAAACACGGACAAACCTGCCGAGGACCCAAGCACCACCGCGTAACTTCACCCCACGAACTGGACGATCCCTCACCGGGAACTTTCCTCCCTAAGCTTCACCGATCCCGAACAAAAGGCGCAAGCAAGGTGTTTTGGTGCACACGTTCAGTCCCCATTCGAGCCACCTTTGGGTTATTTGGGACCAAGGATGTTATATGTGTGGGGAAATTGTTTATGTATATGGTTTACATTTCAATCTAAATAACTCTTTCCGCCCCTTTTAGTATCGTACTGTTTCTTGTTTGGCTCGTGAGGGGGTAAGTGGGTTTCCAAGACCGCGGAAGTTGCCAGTGGTGGTTCTCGTATATAGCGCATGCCGGTCCCGTAGGATATATATGTGTATGCCGACGAGCCAGTGCCCGTCGATCTGCGTGGGCAGACAGACACTGATCAACCCGTAGTCCGCATATAAGGGGGTAACATGTCCCATGTTGTAACCCTGTCCACCTGGTAATAGCGTATAGTTACGTCCTGAGTATACTATCACCAGTCCCTCTTCGACTTGCCAACCGTAGTGCCAGAGCACGCATATCGATCACGTGATATAAACACAACCCGAGAGTCACCCACAGCACTAGACCACCAGGACCAGACAGACACAAGGTACTGTGCAGCACAGCAGTGGCGAGGGATCTGACCAACTCACCCATACCGACCAGACGGATGGACAGCAAGTTACCAGATAGGTCAAGCCACCCCCAAAATATGTCGCTGCACCGGTCACATGACATACTAAGAAGTCCCACAATATCGCTGGGGAAGTATCGTGACGCAGAGATATTCCTACACAGGACCAGACGCCAAAAGAAAAACAGAACTCCCCCGCAAAGATATCAGAGAAGTTGGCTCACTCACATAACTCACTGATGGATGGCATTAACGGGATCACATTAGAGGACGACAAAATCATACATGAACTCAACATACATTTGGAAGTTGGCCGAAACACCTGGGGAGCCTGAGAGATCGAGAGGAATGAATTCCAAGTTCTGGAGAGGAAGGAAAAGAAGAAGAGGCATAAAGGTAAGAAGTTTTAACAAAAGTGGAAAGGATAGAAGGGGTAAAGGGGTCGGGGGAGGGAGGGGTTTGGTATATTGTTTCACCATGCAATCGATGCAGGCTTGGATAGATGGAGGTGGACGTTTGTCAAAGAAGATTCGCTTCGCAAGAGAAATTAGATTCGATCCAATCCTGAGGGGAATAAGTCTCGCAGGATGAAGACGAGAAAGAAAAAAAAAGGGATAGGGGGGATGTAAATCTCGAGTCCATTGCGAGATTGCAAGCAGAAAGAAAAATACGTGGAAATAAAATGAAGTAGACGTCCTTTCCAAATGTTGTTACCCAGCACGCCAAAGACGAACAAAAAAAGCACCTCTCAAAAAATCTACGAAGGGATCAGTCACCAGAACTTGAAACGAACAGCAGTTCATCCAAAATTCGAGGGAGCTGCGATTGCGATATCCGGGGAACTTCTATTTCTTGCTCTTTCTCGGAGACGTGGTCTTCGTAGTCTTAGTCGCACTCTGCTGCTTCTTAGGGATCTGCTTCACCACTTTGCCAGGTGATTTGGTCTTGGAGGTACCCTTGCTCTCTTCCTTCTTTGATGTCGGCCGTTTTCGTGAGTTCGTGCCCTTCGCTGCTGCGAGAATCTTCGCCTTGGTGGCTGCAGAGGGCCGATTAAGCTTGGATGTTGTCTTTGTTGGCGCCGAGGCCTTTGCAGACTTCGCGTCCGGCGTCTTTGGGGTCTTAGTCTGCGTGGACTTCTTGGGCATCGCGGCTCTAGCCTTCGCCTTGGTTGCCTTGACGGTGGGAAGCTTGATCTTGGTTTTCGTGGGTTCAGGTTTCGATGTTCGTTTCGTCGTAGGTGCTTTCGTGCTGGCTCGCGGTTTGGTAGTCGCTTTGGCTGTCTTGCTCGTCGGCTTGGTGACGGCTTGCTTGGAACGAGCAGAAGTCGATTTTGACACGGAAGCACGGGCGCGTGCGACCGCCTTCTTCACACCTGCCTTGACTGCCTTGGTCGTAAGAATCTTTCGGTTCTTGGTCACACCTGAAGGGGATTTGCTGAGCACAGTGCTGGCCTTCCGCTTGATAACTGGCTTCTTCAAGGCGGCCAGCTTCTGCCTTTCGTCTTGCTCTTTGGCGCGCCGGTCCTTCTCCCTTGGTCGCGGGCCCAGGATCCCACGGCAATTAGAGGCGCCGCATCGACACTGTTGGACGTTCTTCTGGGAATAGGGGCTGTGGAACTTGTTAGGAACTCCTCTGGCTCGACGAAAATTGTCTACTCACTCGAAGTTGTAGTCATAGGTCAACTCCTCCCCGGTCATGATGCCCCGATCTCCAGCAAAGAGAGCCATGCGCGGCTTGCCAGCCACTGTCCACTTCTCCATGCGACAGTTCGGTTCACATGAATGATTCACGAAGCGAGCAATCGACCCCCGAGTAGCATCGATGATCATGTTTTGATCAAAGTACATCAAATAGTAGCACTAAAGAGCCCGTTATTATAAGAGTGCGAGGAGGCTGAAACACGTAAACACAAACCTCATTGTTCTTGTAAACCGTTCGCATTCGCCTCTCGCATTCAGTCTGAGTGATGATTTCACCTGTGTATTCCACAATGACTTGGTTGGGCTCGAAGGTGCGGTTGCTGCGTACTCCGTAGCCGCGGTCCTCTGTCTTAATGACCTCGACACCAACGTTGTACTTGCCCCCAGCTTTGGCTCTGTGCTTGAGCTCTTCGAAACTCCGGTTGCCACAATCAGGACCCAGCCTGCAGTTGCCATCGTCACACTCGTACAGCATGTGCCGGTTCTGGCAATCTTCGTCGCAGCCAGTCTCCTCCGTACACATACAGTTCGACAAGTCGATGTGCTTGTTTGCGCGCCATATGCTCCCAGCATCTCCCACAAAAACGTCTAATGTTCAAGTTAGCTCGCGGTTCATTAACATTCGTGCGAGAACCGAAGATGAGGCACGTACTTTTATTGGTCTTTCTCCACTCGTCAGGCTTTGGTTGACCGGGGGGCAGCGGCGAGAAGACATCGAACGGAAGCTGGAAGTCTCTTCCACGCTGCAGGAGTCTTTCTCCCGCAAACATGGGCATTGGTAACAGCCGTCGCTGAGGCGGAGCTTCGTTCTTGTTGTTCTGACTCTTTCTTCTGTTCCTACTCCGACTTTGACTGGGCGGTCCATCCTCGCGCTCTTGTCCGGTGTACAATCCATGAGCCAGCCAGCGCTTGCGTTTGAGGCGCGGCACGGGGGGTGGTGCAGGTGCCGTTACTTCCTGCGCGGTGTCTCCAGCAGCCTTGGCCGCAGCAGGCAAGTCACTTTCCGAGACCCGTCTCTTCTTCGACGAAGGGTCACTTGCAGGTGCAGAGACCGGCTGCTCTTCATTGCTTGGGGCGACGACATTGCGCGGTCGTAGTCCGGACCGACGCTCGCCGCTGTCTTTGCCCTTTTCCGTCTCATCACGCGAGCGCTTTCCCAGGACGCTGGTCGCCCGGTCCACCAAGTCTGACGCCTTCTCCAAGAGGCTCAGCCGCGATGAGCGTCGGGTGGGCCTGGGACTGCTCTCCTTGACAGCTTCCACGATGGTTGTAACCTTCTCCTGCGCCTTCTTCTCGGTCAGCACCTGCTCCACGCGCCTGCGGAGACTCCGTCGCTGCACAGACGTGGTAATGTCCTCGGACGGCGGCTCCTGTGATGATTTCTCGGAAGCCTGCGTCTCCGGGGTCATGGGGTGGTTGCCAAGGCTCGACTGCTCGTCGGCCCAGAGGGTTGTTTCCATTACCGCTATGCTGTGGCGGAGGTGGGAGGCGGAGGAAGAGGATGATCGCTTCGGCTTCTCCGCAACGGGGGGTTCACCATGACCGGGAAGTGATTGATCGTTCTCGCCTCCAAGAGATGAGCCATTGTGTTTACCCGCCCCGACCAGATCGTCTGGTCGGAGTCCCCCCCGCAGCGAAGCGCGTGTTACACGTGTTGATCGTCGGCGTTGAGTCGGTTTCTCTTCGTGGGACGCGTTCTCATTGTTGCTTGAGGTCTCGGAGCGACTGTTCTCGGGGGTAAGAAGTTGTTCGGTGTACTCAAATGTCATTGAAGTGTCTGCATGGTCATGGGTGTGCTTCTGAAGGTCCGCAAGAGTGGCGGGTGTTGCGGGAGACGCGCCGGACAACCCAGTTGAGCGTTCCATGGTGAGAATCTTAGGGGAGAATCGGGACGCGGTGAGTATACCAAAGTCAAGGTACTTCAATAAGGATCAATAAATAGCGCCCGCAAGAGAGATCGAAGGTCCGCAAGCAGAAGAAGTCAAATCCAAACTGGTTCTGACCTGAGGTGGGCTGTGTACGGGGAAGATGCGTGACTGATTCGGGTTGATGGAGGCCTTGTCACCAGGAGTGAACCGTATCAGAACTCAAATACCGCCCGGATCATGATAAATCCCGCAAGAAAGAACCACGGCGCAGAAATCCCAGCTGGTAGAAACGGCCGAGGGCTTGGATGGGGGGAGGGAAAAGGGCGAGGGCGAGGGCGAGGGAAAGGAGGAAGAGGAGGTGCGGAGAGGGTTCGAGGAGGAGTTATCCGCATTATATTAGGGATTCTCTCTCACCAGCCCCGAAAGGACGGCGCCGCGGAATGCAAATGGCTCAAGAAACAAACCCTCCCAGCGTAATTTCAGTCCACAGTCTCTTTCTGCTGCAGACTCTTTCTCGTGCAGGCGGAGTTATACATTTCTTATAGCCATTATCCCAACTTTACTACATACATACTTCCATGTCATGCCGCCGGACTACGTCTTATGTGGCGGCATTACTTGCCCACCTCACGCCCTTTTTCTTGCCAATGGCTTTTTGTATTTCGACGCTTCTGTGCATCGCATCTTCGACGAGCATTAGTCGTTTGTAGTCTATCTACACAAATGTATTCGTCTTATTGTACATATAACCCTAAAGATCGCGTGATATCAAGTTGGTCCGGGGAAGCGGAGATATGCATCGTGAGCAAAGGTGGTGTGCATCTAGAATAAACAACAAGGAAAAATATCATGCAAAGAAAGTATAGCCGAGGGATGCTTCAGATGAGCTACTGGCTCGAGCATCCAGACATATCAGAGAAGGAGGAAAGGGGTATGTAAAGCTTGAAAGTCAAGACGCCGGGTGATTCAAAGAAGGGCTGTGGAAAAGGTGCAACAGGCATTACATCTGCAAATAGTCTTGAGGCAGAGAGAAGAAGAAAAAGAAGAGGTTAAGGGGGAAAGAAATTCAGAAAAGAACAGTCTACCTACGGGGGAACTGTAAGTTGTGTCATGAAAAAAAGAAAAAAAAAAGACATGGAGCCAACGGGACCAAGGCAAAACGCAGAGTCATAGATGAATGCCTCATTCGTGAGGTTGCGAAGAAGGGACTCGCTGCATCTCAATGTCGGGCTGACGCTCAACATGGCGAGGAAGGTACTTGCGCTTTACAGTGCTCAAGCGTTGGTCACCCGCGTTGTAAGTTCTCTTAAACTGCATGTAGGTCGGGGGTCGCGGTCGCAAGAGCACGGACAGCCAATTTCGGATGGCATTGCCTTGTGTGAAGGGACGATGACGATCAGCCTTGGCAAACTTGTGAGAGTTTAAGTATTCTCTCGTTGTCTCGCCCCGGCCAACCAGGAAGATGTGATAGGTCCATAGGGAAGCAGGATACGGCGCAGCAATTGCGCCATACAGCACCATGGCCCAAGGCACTCTCCATTTGTCAATCGCAGAGCCAAAACTAATATGTTCCTGGTTGCGATATACCATGATGTGGGCGAGACTGGCACCGAGTAGGAATAATGCAAGTAGTGTGGAGGATGCCACGAAGGTTAAAAAGTAGCGATAGTTGCGCCGGCCCACACAGTTGTTGAGCCAGACACAATGATGATCCAGGGTTTCAATGCAGTTATCACACACCCGGCAGTGGTAGCAGCGCGGCGGCCGCCAGATACAGCAAGTCTCACAGTATTTGACGGGGACATCCATGGCTGCGACGTCGGAAGTCGCCAATTTGACCATCACCCAGTCATTAGTTGGCGGGCCTACTGCCAGCGGATCCACTGAAGGGTCTGGTGGAGGCAGCTGGTGAAGATTTCGTGGGATTATCTGGAACAACAAATCAGCATGCGAAAGTGTAGCGTGTCCTGAAAAGACTCTTACCCCGGGATCAACCACCGAAGCATGGATAAACGACGAAAAGCATAAATAGAAGAGGTAGGCAAACAAAATCGGGATGGCAGGAGAGATATGATGCCAAAGCCAGGGAGCCCTATGCGCATCGCTGTCAGTCAAGACTATATCAGGATACTCAAGAGCCGGGATTTCTTACGAATATGCGAAGAACAGTGCCGAGGGCACGACCACGAATATTCCAGTAGCAATATTGACGGGCTTGTCCCTTGAGTTCTGCAACCTCCCGCCGCCAAAAAATATCGTGTTGCCGACAAAGTACTCATAGTTCTTCCCCAGTCGACTACGCTTAGTGGTTGGGGGCTGCTTCTCAATCGACGCAGGTGTCGACCCGGCAGAAGACAGCCTCTCGTGCGCGCGATCACGGGCTTCTTGCACATGGTTCCTGTTCTGCAGCGAGAGAAAGGAAAGAGGCGATCTTTGAGGGGCATCGGGAGCATTCGGACTGCCGTGGTCCACGCCTAGGTTAAGATGTGGTGGCTTGAGCTTGTAAGCCCTCTCCCTATCGTGGATAAGCTTTGCACTCTCGCCTATGCTCCTCCCCGTCGTATTGCCCATCGGGCTAGCATTCGACGCTGTACGGTCGGGGATGATAGGGTCTGTGAACTCGGTGCCCCTTGAGGGAGGGGGCTCTTGATCTATTGGCGGGAGAGAATCTCGATGCGCGGTGCTATTCGAGACTAGACTCTGCCGGTTCTGGCTTCCGTGCTCGCCCCATTCTTCTGAAGTGTCCGTTGTGGTTCCTTTCGTCATCGGCCGACCTCTATGGGCCTGAAGTCGCTGGGATGACATCGGACGAAAGAAGCCCTGCGCTGTTAAGGAAGGGATATGAGATCGACTCAGTCGACTGCCAGAGCTTCCAGGCCTTGTCGTCGTCTGACTCGTGGTTGTGATGGAACTCCTTGCGGGTGGAGGTACTCGTCGGGATACAGACGGTCGCGAGTGTGGAGGTTGTGACGACATGGCAGTAAAGGCTTGGGAATTTTCTCCGTCGTCCGAAGCCATATCGGTCACTCGCGACGATATTCCGCCCACGGAGGGGGGTCGCGGTATACCTAGCGCATGTTGCGCCGGCGGGGCATTCGGCGCATCGCTGGTCTCCGACATTGCTTGAAAGAGAAAAGTAGGTTGTTTGTATGGCGTGGTCAATGATCAGGGTTCCGTCAATTAATAACGCGCATCAACCATGTTGTAGCCAGACAGGGGTAAAAGAAGATGGATAGATTCGATAAAACTAGATACCGGGAACCGGGGACCGCAATTCTTCGGGCATGAGTATAGAACAGGGTCGGATCAAAGTCGAACTTAAGAGGGTCTGAAGGAGTGACAGGAAAAAATCGTAAATTGAAGTAAAAGGGATTGAATAATCGGAAATGAGCGTAAGCAACCTAAAGAGAGAGCACTGGCCGATTAGTTTCGCGGAACAATTAAATTCGAGTTATATCGGGGGGTGGGAGGAGAGGGCTTGGGCCAACCCCTGTCCAAGGTAAATGAACCCAGGGCAGGGAAGTCGTAGCACCGAACAAACGGACCTGGAGGAGGGGATGTAGAAGGGGATGGAGAGGAGGCCTTCTTAGCAACCAGAGCCCATCATAGTACGATCGCAAGGGCGACCATGACCTTCAAATGGGAGAGGGAGGTGAAGGTGGGCTGTAAGGATGCGTATAAGCGTCACGGGGAATAAGGTGGAAAGGTAGAGCCAAACGGGCGCGACTGGGCATGGCGGCCTGAGGAAAGAAAGTCGAGGACGTCGACTGCAAGTGCCTGCCCGGGACCGACCGCCCGACCGTAAGATACTCCACTCCGTCGCTGCTTGCAGCCTGATGGTGGCCTGACAGTTGAGGCGACAACAGGCTCAGCACAGCTCAGCTCAGCTTACTAGCTGAGTCAGCCCTTCCATAGCACCAGTAAGTCAAAATCCCGCTGGCCAACGGGATGTCACCTGATGATGCGCCGGCAACATCATCGTCCGACACCCACCGATTCTCAACCCCCCCCCCCCCCAAATCAAACCCACACCTCCATACTCTCTGACCCCAAACAAGGGCTGATATACATCCAATTCCCCAAACTCACCACCATGTCTTCGATCGCTGCCATGGCCTCTCGCCGGGCCTTCGCCCGCCAATCCCTCCTTCGCGCTCCCCAGCGCCGCTTCCAGTCCTCCAAGCTGGAGCAGGCCAGCCTCGACAAGGCTCCCAAGCGTGACCCCGAGCTCTACGTACGGCAATCATCCACCCTCAATTGGAAACGCGGGCCAATTTTCTAACCAGCATTACTCCTTTAGGTCCTCCTTGGTGTCATGTCTGGTGCTTTCCTGCTTGCCGGATGGTAAATTCCACCCACACCTTTTCCCTCCTGTCCGCACGACACGAATTCGCTTTTGCAAAATTGGCCTCCACCTCGTTCTCCTCCGAGGTCTATCCTTTCACAACCCAATTGCATCCTCCACCACCGCCCCGGTCAATTGCCAACCCCTCAGTTATGCTCTTTGCTAACGGTTTTACTTGCGATCTTCGAAAATAACAGGTACTTCGGCCGCAAGCCCACCTCCGTCACCTCCGAGAGCAACGTCCGCATCGGCGAGAGTGCCATGCCCTGGGAGCAGGCCGATGCCGAGGGCAAGGTCTACAAGTACCAGTACCACCCCCACGGTGACAAGAGCCAGCCCCTGCGCAACGCTCCCAGTGCCTTGAACACTGTCATCGTCCCCAACGTTACTCTCCCCGCCGTAAGTAGCAAGATCATTTCCAACCCTCGCCGATTCTCTCGGCTTTTTCAAGATCCGCCATGTACTCGGTTGATGGCATTGAGCCCCAAAGCCACTAACTCTATCGCTAGGACCTCCACGAGCGCTTCAACAAGTACGGTAAGGAGGAGTGGGACTACTAAACGGTCCGCCCATGCCGAAGGGATTTGATTGATAGAAGTTGAGGCACACCGGCTCTGACCGCTGTACACTAAAACTTATGTGTGAAGATGTGAAGATTAGAGTGGGAAGTCTTGTGCGGGAAAGGAGAGAGAGAGAGAGAGAGAGAGTACTGATAACAGCTTTGTGCATAGTTCTTTTTTTTGACGAGATTCTTTTTTGGGAAGACTATCGTTTCTGTTCTCGTTTCGTTTTACAAATACCTGATCCTTTAAAAGTGTAAAATGTAATAAAAAAGTAGAGTACTTCATTCATCTTGCAAACAGGTATTCATGTACAAAAGTCACATCTCGTTATTCCAATGCGCAAAGGTTACTGTCGAAGAAAAGTACAGGAAAGTAAATAAGCAGAGCTAAAGATCGGATGAAAATACAAACAACCCCTAACTAAATGCTCCAAATCTATTTCGTTCAAGATTTAGTCGCCTCATTCACCTCACTGGCCGGCTTGGGGTCCGCGGAGCCCTTCCGTTCCTCGGAGCTACCATGTCCAACTACTGAGGCTGGACCTTCCTCGACATCTTGAGGCTGATATCTCTGGATAGTTTCGGGGTTCTGGCCCTCAACATCCGGATGCGGCGGAGCAAACTCGATCTCACCGTCGACCATATCAACGAGATGACCCTTATCCAAGCGGGTCGAGGTCTCGTGTCGCGTCTCAAAGGACACCTTGCCCTCCTTCCTCAATGAGGCGACGAGCTCCTCGTCCAGGATGTTGCCATCCTGATCGCGGTATTCTACTCGTGCCTTGGTGCTGTGACGGGCCCGAGGCGTAATCGCAGGCTCTTGAGGCTCTTCCTGAAGAACTTCCTGAGCATGCTGTTGAGGCGCATCCTGAGGTGGGGCCACAGCGGGAGGGGCCTGTGGAACAGATGTCTCCGTAGGCGGAATAGCCACGTTCGCGTTACTATCAACGTACTGAGTCACGTAATGGCTAAGCTAAGGCGATATGTCAGTCATGGCACCGTGGAGTATTAAAGCTTCTCAGCCCGGATTAGGGTACCTACATCGGTGTAGAAGGTGTTGCAGTCAAAGTCCCAGGTATCCAAGAGCTTGACTTGTCTGCAAGCTTCCTGAGTCCAGGGGTTGCCGTAAACCAAGGGCGAATAAATAACGAAGGTGAAGATGCTAAGGGTAAGGAATAAACCAGCCAGGATCTTGCCAATCACAGGCTTGGATGGCAAGCCAAGCGATCTAACGCGATTGGCGATGAAGTCGAATTCCTGGCAGAGTGCCATAATCGCAAAGTACAGCGCCGGGAAATAGTGGTGCAAGAAGAGCTGCCGGGCCATGAGATAGAAAGGGAAGTAGTGGAAAGCCCAGCCGAGGACAGTGGTGCCAATCTCGTAGTCAAAACGCTTGAAGTTAACGTTGCGATAATCACCGCAGCTCCGCTGCCAACGAAGGACAGAAACGCCCTTGAAGAGGAAGTAGACCGCGATAGCCACAGTCGACGACCACCAAATGAAGGGGTTACCAAGGAGGTAGACCTGACGGTGGTCTTTGCCCCAAAAGTTAATACCGCGGAGTAGGGTAGGCCATGATGGAGGGCGAGAATCCCAGGCGTGCGATTCCGTGAGACCGGCATTCGTCACCCACATCACCTTCTGTAGTTCGAAAAACTTGCCGAAGAAACCAGGGTTTTTGTAATTAACCTTCTCCGCGTCTTCAGCCAGCATCGGGTGGTTGTTGGATTCAATATACCAGACACTGTTCGGTAGCGTGGCTCCCCTGGCGCAAGTAACCTCCTGCTGATCGAAGCCCCACTCAGGAAGCTTGACCTTGTGCGAGAACAAAACGCAGTTAGTCATGACGTGCACGAGGCGAAATTTGGTTTGGATAGTCCGAAGCCGCTTCTTCGCTTCTTCACCATCGGACATCGACTTGACGATCTCAACGCGGAAGAGATCATTCGCGTCGCCAGGAAAACCGTCATATCCGTATGCTGAGACTTCAAATTGCCAGTCAACATCAGTCACAGGGGGGCGCTCATCGTGCGAATGGACTCGCCGGCGCGTGACGAAGTGGTTAAGTTTGATGGTAGCGCCGTCTTCAATGTATTCAGCGGTAATGTTGTCCCAAGCCAGAGGACCCTCCAAGGTTCCATAAGGACCCAAGGGCTGTGTCTGGTTCTCGAGAATGAAGACGTTGTTTTCGTCCTTGTGGGGGTAGAGGGTAATCTGTTGCTGCTTGCTTCCTGTAGGGTACATGTGGTTGTGGGAGTGCAGGTAGCCTCCTTGTGTGTTGAGGTGGCGCAGGGAGACACGAGAGCCGAAGACAACGTCTGCAGGAACGTCCTGCATGGATTTCGAATTCAAGGTTGCCTGGAATTCCGAGGACATGAATCCGTCTCCGTCTCCAGGGTTGACCAAGCACAAGAAATGGATTGCGAACATCCCGCAATAGAACGTCAGCGGGATGACGATGAGGCAGAAAAAGCGGGCAAAGAAATGCTTGAACCAAAGACGCTAGAAAACAAAGGATATTAGCTTCTCTCAGAGGCGGAGCATAGGGTTCCATGGCATACCGGTGTGACATTGACCGTATCGCCGAGCAACACCCAAAGTTGGAGAACCGTGAGCGATCCAACCCACGCAACAGTGAACAAACCGACCCACTTGACACTCAGGGTAGCACCCAAAGCAAGACCAGACGCGACCAGCCAAAACCACCAGGGTCCACGGAAAGCATGCGATGGCCCCATCTCATGCTGATTGGTGAAACATGTGAACGACAAAGCCGTGAGCGCGGTGAAGAACACCAATGGAGAATCCAAGAGAATCAGACGCGATTGAGTAATTAGACCGTTTTCTGAGCCGAGTTAGCAGGCATCATCCAACCGCCACTGAGAGCCATCACTCACCAAAGATGACAACACCGGCGCCCAGAATAGCTGAAATAGTGCGGCAGCCCGACGCCTTGAGAGTTAAGAACATCAACGGAACCGTCAAGACACCCAGAATCGCGGGAAGCATCCGCATCGCAACATAAGGCACCCCGGGCTCGAGGTAGTCCTTGCCAATGTCCTTGAAGTCGAACTCGCCATCGAAGCCTGCAAGCCAGCCAGCCAGTGTGAGGAGAAGTTTAGCCAGCGGCGGATGGACATCCATGAAAAAGCGGCCTTTGATATATTTGGAGGCGAAGCCACCGAAACTGTTGAGGAGATTGTCAGACGGGAGTTGTTCTAGAGGCTATGCGCAACGGTGATAATCTCAAGACATACTGGACTTCATCGAAGACAACGCTGGAGGGCTGGTAGATCCGGAACAGACGAACAACCGCAGCCACAATGGTCACCACGACCAATGTCTTGTAGTCGGAGGCGGGGAGCTTGAAGATGTTGTTGTCCGTAACACCTTCCGAGGCGTAACTGGGTGCCCGCACAGTCACATTTTTGCGACTTTTCGGACCCGGAGAGCGACTTGAAGAGCGTAATTGCGACTTTGGTGGGGGGTTGACCTCCAAGGTGTTTTTAGATTGAGACGCCATTGATGAGGCGATTAAGTTGGTAGAGTCAAGGAGCGGGGAGGGGACAGGTTCAAAGGGTCGGATTGAACAAACAACAACCCGATTAGATCATCCAGGTATTGCTGCGGGCGAGCGAAATGACGAAAGCCGTGCAGTCACTTGCTCCAACTCCAGGAGGGAGCTTGCGAATATGAAAAGCCCGGCGCGTGGTAAAGCAGGGATAGATTTGAGATAGGAGATAAAGGGAATAAAAAGAGGAGAAAAGAGATCAATGAACGAGTGTAAGAATTAAAAAAGATGAAAGGCCATGACAGCGGGGGGAGGGAAAGCAGCAAGAAAGGTAAAGGAATGGGGATGGAGAAAGAGGGCAAAGACAAGACAACACGTGTGGGACGATTAGGGAGGCGGGATGAAAGCGTAGTCGACCGGTTTGAGGCCAGATCGTCGGGAGGGAGGTGAAGGCTAGCTGCGTAGCAGGAGTAGACTAGGTACTGTACTTACTCCGTAGACTAAGAGCAAGTAAAACTGCCCGTCAGCAAGAGAAAGCGACAGGGAGAGAAGCATCCATTGAAGAGAAGGCTGAAGCATGCAGTTCCGATCGGTGGCTGGCCTGCTGCGGCGGCTGGACCCTCCTTCCGCCCCGATGCAACAGTACGTACTACATGTGCATAGTAAGACTGAGGCACTGCCTCTCAGCCAAATGGGGGCGGTTATGATCACTGATCACGATGTTTGGGGCACAATTCTGGTATTCTTTGTTTAGGTTGTTTTCCATACAGTCCTCAATCATAACCAGAATTCTAATTCCATGGGCAATTGAATCGCTGTAAGTATGGCCTCGGACTCAGGAACCGTTCGTCCGCTTTAAGCCTAGCCCCCGGACTCCCGTCAGCCAATCACCCTCCATCTCTGCTAGCCGCGCGGATCCTCTCACTGACTTCACCGCCCGCGCTTCGTCAGCCCGCAGCAACCGCCATCCGAGAAGAGACTCGCTATAGATGAAGTCCAGCCCGAAAAGGACATCCCGACGCCCGCAAGACCTCGCTCGCATCTCGGATTTCTGTCTCTTGAACAGACCGATATCCCCTCACCGGCTTGAATTATGGCCGCCGTTAGTAATGGAAGTACTCCGTTACCAGACGATGTGAACAAACCCCCCGAGGGTGTGGTTTTGCCACCCAAGGATATTCGAGGTCAGTCCCAGCTTCGGTTAAAACCCGTCCGCAAGTATTCACGCTGACATCTCTCACCAGCCATCGTCGAGAAGACCGCCGGGTACGTGGCTCGTAACGGTCCTGTGTTCGAAGGTAAGTTCTGGGCTCACCGATTCCATGGCCCTCAAGCTCCGACTCCGACTTCTAACACATTCCCGCCTTTGCTCCAGATCGTGTTCGCGAGAAGGAGCGAAACAACCCGAAGTTCTCTTTCCTCAACCCCGACGACGCATACGGCCCGTTCTACCAATGGCGCCTCACAGAGATCAAGGAAGGGCGAGG